AAGGTGATACTAAACAGAAAAAATATTAATTGCCATAATTATTTCACATAAATCATATATATCATGCCACTGTGTTTTGTTTAAAAAAAAATCTTCTAAGTACCTTTTTCATGCAGTTCTGTTGTGTGGTCACATGATCTTTCCCTGTTCTGCATCTGCAGGGAAAGATCCTATTGGGGAAGGTGGGGATTCTATTACTCTGCTGATATATGCTCTCTACAGTGTGAGTTGGTGCTGTGCCAGTCACATGACTAAAAGAAAACCGTTTCAGAAGAGTAATTCAAATTAAATTATAAATATCAAAAACTGTTTTACAGCTCCCTATAAATATTTATTGAACATCAAATGAGTATTTATGGCGCATAAATATGGAGTAGGCGAGTCAAAGATGATTGACACTAGCTTTCATTTTATTCAGAAGGCATCTGCATCCAATGTTCTTTTTTTTTTACTTTTCAGGTATTGGCAATTACATTTGATATACTTAATACTGAAGCTTTTTTGTGAGTTTCAATAATCAATCAGTATACTATATCCCACCCCATGGTGTTTCGCAGTAGGAAGACATGGAGGAGGAAGAAGGGGGGCGGGCGGTGTCATTTACCACTGTGTAGACACCCATATGGGTCTCTATAGTCCTGTGGGCTACACAGATAAGAAAAAGGAGTTTAGAAGAAGGAAACTGAAATATGAGCATGCTCAGTAGAGGACATCAGTTGGTCAACACTATCTCAGGCTTCAATGAGGAAGATGTGTGGGACAGTTGAAGGCAGGATGAACCAAGTATATTTCACTATCCACATAACAAATGCTTTAGTGGCTTTCTGGGTATGCACACTGTTATATAACATGTAATAAGAGTTTTTTTATAGTTTGGGTTCAATGACACTTTAAAGTGGTTGTAAAGCTTTGGGTTTTTTTTTTTTTTAAATAATAAACACATCATACTTACTTGCTCTGTGCAATGGTTTCACATAGAACAGCCTTTATCTTCCTGTTCTCGAGTATCCCGCTGGTGCTCCTGGCCCTTCCACGCTGCCGAGTGCCCCCAGAGAAAGCTGCTTGCTCTGGGGGCACTCATGTGTGCTCGTTCCCAGTCCAGCCCTGTATGTTCAAAAGACATAAAAAACACCTCTCAGCTCTGCCCCCCACTCCCTGATCACTGGTTGTGATTGCCAGCAGTAGGAGCCAATGGCTCCCACTGCTGTGTCTCTGCCAATGAGTAGAGAGAGACCCGTGAGAGCCGAGGCTCTCATGCACAGCGCTGGATCGCGATCAGGCTCAAGTAAGTATTAGGGGGAGCTTCACACTAAAGGGTTTTTGCCTTCATGCATAGAACACATGAAGAAAAAATTCTTCAGCCTTTACAATCAGTTTAAATCTATCCTACATATGTGTATTATAATAATATGAAGCATACTGTTAATAAATTGCTTACATCAAGCAGGCATTGTGGTGTACTTTTTGTGCCATTGCATCAAAAGTGTAACATGCTAGGTGCAATTTGACATTATACAGTATTTAAAATTGAAATCAGAGCTACTGTAAACAAATATTGTCTACATACAGGCGATAAAGTGTATCATTAATTGATAGTTAGTGTGCTTTTTATTTCCTTCAGACATGTGCAATAATTTAGCATAAAACAACCACCTTTCTGTGGGTGTTCCTTGTAAGAAAGGCCAGTCTCAGCTGCTCTCTATCCTCATGCCGATCACAGGTTATGTATCCGCCGCACACCTTTGTTTTCTACAGGGTCCCCCAAAATTTGGAAAAATTACATATTTGACAGCTGACAGCAGGGCTGGTGTCCCCAATGGCAGATTTCCCTTTAGCTGATGTTCTGGTGACAATTGTTATTGGTGGGATGCCTGTCATTAGAATAAAACATGATGGTGAAAGTGAGCAATAACTACCTGATATAAGTTCTAATTCTTCCCCATTCCATCCAAAAATACAACAAAAGTTTTGACTGATATTCCTGATTAAGTAGGAATGCTAATTCTGCATAGTCAGTGTGTGAGAATTTAAACTTTTATAGCTTACTAGATGGCTCAAAATTACAAGACAAGGCTACCAACACAATAACAATTACCAACCTTATTACTTATAGTGGACCTTCCCATTCTCCAGGCATGTATACATTGTACCATCTTCATAATCCACTCTGTAAATTATTTGCTCAACAAATGAAGCCCACCAAGACTAAACAGCTTTGTTACAAGTTTGCAGATTTTGACTTTTTGTCAAAAGCCAGCATCTAAACCTTCATCTTCATCTCTAACCACTCTCCCTGGCCATTATTATATGCAGAGAGCAGTGTCACATGATAGTTACAGGAAAAGCAGAAGTGTCTTCGATGCATGGGCTATGATTAAACAATCTATTTTCACCTTCTGTATGTTGGGCTATAGGCAAGATAGAAGCTCCCCAGCAAGAGAGTAATTAGGTCTCTGGGGATAGACTGGAGCAGTTTTCCTTCACTTATTACACACTGGAGAGTTGTTTATAAGCTGAAAAGTTTGTATTTGGCTATAGTTTCTGTAAATGTTGGCAAAGGAAAGGGTTCCTTAAAAAACAGTTAAACACATATTTGTATCCTCACAAATGACAACTATGTGCTATGTGTCTGAACCAATGAAATATCAATGAATAGGTCCTCCAAAGCCAAGCTGCTTCTTCCAAGAGGAAAAGGTCAGACGGAAGGAGAATGCCTGGATGGACCTGTTACGGTCTCCACAGTTCTTTACACATCAAGCTCTGTTTCCAAAGCTAATCTCCATCTTACCCATCATGTTCCTTATAAACACAAGGACTCTATTGTGAGTAAAATGATAGCAATGTGAAAAAGCTGCAAACACACTAGGAGATATTTTCCATAGTGACAAATTGTGTTACAAATATTCATAAAATGCAAAATTCATAGAACAAACATCATTATAAGAAAATAAAATAAAAAAAGAAATCCGACAATTAATCGTGTGTAAATAAAGAATATGCGGTAATTGATCATGTGCAATAGTAAAAATACCACAGTTGATCATGTGCAAATAAAAAAAAATCCCACAGTTAATTTTATGAAAATAATATAAATTCTGAAAGTCTAACAATTGATTAAGTGAGCGTCCACAAAATGTAGGAACTTCTACCCAAAAACCTCTTGGAATAGGTGTCAGGATAGATTCAAAGCCTACACCAGGTTGTAGCAAAATGTAGGCTTATTGTCAGGAATGGACTGGCCAGCAATATTGGGACTCACCTGCCTTATGAGCTGCAGTACCAGGGCTGGCCAGCGGGTGCTCCCAGCAATCAGAGACTCAACCTTGCAGCCAGTCAAACACCTGGAACTAATTGTACTGGTGTATTTAAGGGACATTCAGACCTGCAGACTCTGCCTTGGTGTTGTGTTTCTCCTGGGCCCTGTTTCCTGTTCCTGTCTGATTCTCTGCTGACCCTGCTCTGATCCCTGGCTTGTCTGACCATTCTCCTGCTCTTGATCCCTGGCTTGTCTGACCATTCTCCTCTGCCTGACCCTCTGTACCACGCTGCCCGCTACCTGCTGAACCTGGCTTGTGACCCCGACCATTCTCCGCTTGCTCCCCCTGTACCTACCTGCCGATTGATATTGACCCGGCCTGCCTGACGATGCTTGCATTGTATGTACTGTTATCTGTGGGTGGTTGGTTTGGTTTGTTTGCACTGTGTTATGTTTTAGTATTGCACTGCGTTTATGTTTGTATTGTTAGTGTTAATAAATTACATTGTTTATAACATATCTGAAGTCTGCGTTTCCCTGCGTCAGTCACACACCTCTGGTCACACTCGGGAGCCCTGACATTACACCAAGGCCAATCCTGACCAGAAGTGGCTGCACAGGGAAGCCATCTTGGCTTGTTGATGGGAAGGATGGATCTTGATGAGGTTGTGTATTTATATCTGCTAGTGTTTGATGACAGAGAGTATGCTTATCAGACTCTGAAGGAGTATCCCGGGATGAACTGCTAGAATGTATACGGCTCGCTCATGTTCTAGTAGATCAGGGCACAGAATTCTCTGAGGTGCAGCCATTGATTCAGATTTGTGCGGAGTTGGTTTCATCTTGTACCCCTGAATGCAGGGATGAATTTTTGCCGCCATTTAGTGCTGACCAGGTAGAGTCCCTGGTATTGGTTATTAGAGGATGATGTGGATTGCTTCTTGGAGCATTATGCTGCATGTTCACCACAGACACTAAGAGATTGTATAAACGCAGTGCAGTCTTTAGTCAGACAGACTTTGTGTAAGCTCAGCTTTGTTCAACCCATACTGCAGACATGGACAGATTTGTTGCACCCAGCCTCAGTCAGCTTACAAAAACCCAGTCCTGCTTCTAATCTATTTCCTCAAAGCTCTATTCCTGCATTCCCAACAGCTCCTCCTGCCCTGCTATCTACCGCATGTCAGTACCCTGTTCCCACTCGCTGCACCTATCCTGCCTTTAACCCTGTAAAAAAAGCCCTCTGTAGCAACTGCTCCCTCCCCTGTTCCATCCTCCAGCTCTTCTCTGTCTCCAGCTGCTCCATTCATTTGCAGACCTGCGTTTACTTGCAGTGCTCCAGTAGTTAAAACCAGAAAAAAGCGAAAATTCTTTCCAACCAATACCATCCTGCCAGTATCCAAACCGGTGAACCTGCCTTCCGTGGTTCAGCCTGAAGCCTCTACTCAGCCTGAAGCCTCTACTCAGCCTGAAGCCTGTACTCAGCCTGATGCCTGTACTCAGCCTGATGCCTGTACGCAGCCTGATGCCTCTCTTCAGCCTGATGCCTCTACTCAGCCTGATGCCTCTACTCAGCCTGATGCCTCTACGCAGCCTGATGCCTCTCTTCAGCCTGATGCCTCTCTTCAGCCTGATGCCTCTCTTCAGCCTGATGCCTCTACTCAGCCTGAAGCCTCTACTCAGCCTGAAGCCTCTACTCAGCCTGAAGCCTCTACTCAGCCTGAAGCCTCTACTCAGCCTGAAGCCTCTACTCAGCATGAAGCTTCTACTCAGCATGAAGCCTCTACTCAGCCTGATGCCTCTACTCAGCCTGATGCCTCTACTCAGCCTGATGCCTCTACTCAGCCTGATGCCTCTACTCAGCCTGATGCCTTTACTCAGCCGGATGCCTGCATTCAGCCTGATGCCTCTACCCAGCATGATGAACTGATCCAGCCTGACGATCCTATTAGGCCTGGTGACCCGATGCCCACTGCCTTGCCAGATGACGCGGTGCCCGCTGGCAAGCCAAATGACCTGATGCCTGGTGACCCAGTGCCCGCTGTCATACCTGGTGACCCGATGCCCGCTGTCGAGCCAGACAATCGGTACCTGATGACCCGGTGCCCGCTGTCGTGCCAATTGACTCAGAGCCCGCTGTCGTACCTGGTGACTCGGTGCCCACTGCCTTGCCAGATGACGCGGTGCCCGCTGGCGAGCCAAATGACCTGATGCCTGGTGACCCAGTGCCCGCTGTCATACCTGGTGACCCGATGCCCGCTGTCGAGCCAGACAATCCGGTACCTGATGACCCGGTGCCCGCTGTCGTGCCAATTGAGTCAGAGCCCACTGTCGTGCCTGGTGATTCGGTGCCCGCAGTCTTGCCAGACGACTCGGTGCCCGCAGTCTTGCCAGACGACTCGGTGCCCGCAGTCTTGCCAGGCGACTCGATGCCCGCTGTTCCGCCAGATGACTCGGTGCCCGCAGTCTTGCCAGACGACTCGGTGCCCGCAGTCTTGCCAGACGACTCGGTGCCCGCTGTCCCGCCAGACGACTCGGTGCCCGCAGTCTTGCCAGACGACTCGGTGCCCGCAGTCTTGCCAGACGACTCGGTGCCCGCAGTCTTGCCAGACGACTCGGTGCTCGCAGTCTTGCCAGACGACTCGGTGCTCGCAGTCTTGCCAGACGACTCAAAGCCCGCTGTTCCGCCAGTTGGCTCGGTGCCCGCAGTCTTGCCAGTTGTTACTCGGTGCCCGCAGTCTTGCCAGTTGACTCGGTGCCCGCCGCTCCGCCTGGGGGGCCCGAGACCTGTCGCTCTGCCTGGGGGTCCGGCGCCCGCCCGCTCCCGCCTGGGGGTCCGGCGCCCACCGCTCCGCCTGGGGGCCTGAGACCTGTCGCTCCGCCTGGGGGCCTGAGACCTGTCGCTCCGCCTGGGGGCCTGAGACCTGTCGCTCCGCCTGGGGGCCTGAGACCTGTCGCTCCGCCTGGGGGCCTGAGACCTGTCGCTCCGCCTGGGGGCCTGAGACCTGACTCTCTGTCACTCCGCCTGGGAGCCTGAGACCTGTCGCTCCGCCTGGGGGTCCGGCGCCCGCCCGCTCCGCCTGGGGGCCCGAGACCTGTCGCTCCGCCTGGGGGTCCGGCGCCCTCCCGCTCCGCCTGGGGGCCCGAGACCTGTCGCTCCGCCTGGGGGCCCACCGCTCCGCCTGGGGGCCCAATGCCTGTCGACCCGCCTGGGGGCCCGATGCCTGTCGCCCCTCCTGGGGGTCCGATGCCTGTCGCCCCTTCTGGGGGCCCGGTGCCTGCTGCTTCACCTGGTAATCTCCCGATGTGCCTCTGCCCGGAGTCCAGCCCGATGTGCCTCTGCCCGGGGTCCAGCCCGATGTGCCTCTGCCCGGAGTCCAGCCCGATGTGCCTCTGCCCGGAGTCCAGCCCGATGTGCCTCTGCCCGGAGTGCCTCTGCCCGGTGTGCCGCTGCCCGGAGTGCCTCTGCCCGGAGTCCAGAACGATGTGCCTCTGCCCGGATTCCAGCCCGATGTGCCTGTGCCCGGAGTCCAGCCCGATGTGCCTGTGCCCGGAGTCCAGCCCGATGTGCCTGTGCCCGGAGTCCAGCCCGATGTGCCTGTGCCCGGAGTCCAGCCCGATGTGCCTGTGCCCGGAGTCCAGCCCGATGTGCCTGTGCCCGGAGTCCAGCCCGATGTGCCTGTGCCCGGAGTCCAGCCCGATGTGCCTGTGCCCGGAGTCCAGCCCGATGTGCCTGTGCCCGGAGTCCAGCCCGGTGTGCCTGTGCCCGGAGTCCAGCCCGGTGTGCCTCTGCCCGGAGTCCAGCCCGGTGTGCCTCTGCCCGGAGTCCAGCCCGGTGTGCCTCTGCCCGGAGTCCAGCCCGGTGTGCCTCTGCCCGGAGTCCAGCCCGGTGTGCCTCTGCCCGGTGTGCCCCTGCCCGGTGTGCCGCTGCCCGGAGTCCTGCCCGGTGTGCCAGTCTTTGATATCCCGCCAGTTACCAGACCCGGGCGGTGGAACATCTTGCCCAGCTAGGGACTGTTTGGAGCGTCCTGAGGCCGCTCCTTGAGGGGGGGGTACTGTCAGGAATGGACTGGCCAGCAATATTGGGACTCACCTGCCTTATGAGCTGCAGTACCAGGGCTGGCCAGCGGGTGCTCCCAGCAATCAGAGACTCAACCTTGCAGCCAGTCAAAACACCTGGAACGAATTATACTGGTGTATTTAAGGGACATTCAGACCTGCAGACTCTGCCTGGTGTTGTGTTTCTCCTGGGCCCTGTTTCCTGTTCCTGTCTGATTCTCTGCTGTCCCTGCTCTGATCCCTGGCTTGTCTGACCATTCTCCTGCTCCTGATCCCTGGCTTGTCTGACCATTCTCCTCTGCCTGACCCTCTGTACCACGCTGCCCGCCTACCTGCTGAACCTGGCTTGTGACCCCGACCATTCTCCGCTTGCTCCCCCTGTACCTACCTGCCCGATTGATATTGACCCGGCCTGCCTGACCACGCTTGCATTGTATGTACTGTTATCTGTGGGTGGTTGGTTTGGTTTGTTTGCACTGTGTTATGTTTTAGTATTGCACTGCGTTTATGTTTGTATTGTTAGTGTTAATAAATTACATTGTTTATAACATATCTGAAGTCTGCGTTTCCCTGCGTCAGTCACACACCTCTGGTCACACTCGGGAGCCCTGACACTTATTAGATACATATTGCCCCCTAATTATAAAGAAGTCACAAGTGACACAAATTATGGTATTCCACATCTCCCACTCCTTTTCTGGATTCACAGCTAACTCAGGTCAGTTAACGGTCCCCGCATCCAACCAATCGACAGATTGACTCAGAAAGAGAATATGAGCAAAGGCCACACATAGTATAAAACCATCCAAAAAATTTTTATTTAGCAAAATATTGCACTGTCAATTTATTTCGGGCAATTGCGCACTGTAAAAAACTACATTCAGGCTGGCAGATAAGCAACGTCTAGGTCACTTCAGCTTACGCAATGACATCAGCAGCTGGCTCCTTCTTACGCATTTCGTCATAAATGATGTCTTCTGGGTCATCACCTCATGACTTCCAAGTCGCATCCATCCAAAGTCGCATCCAAATCACACCCATCCAAAGTCGCATCAAATAAACTTATTATAGACAAAAAAAACCCACAAAATATGTTAAAAAAGCCCGAGTTCAAAAATGCTAAATGCGTCAGAAATGCATTAACTGCAACATGCAGGAAAATGAACATAGCCTTAGAATTTATTTTATTTTCATAGGATTAACTATGGGATTTTTTATTTATTTGCACATAATCAACAGTGGTGTTTTAGTTATTTGCACATGATCAATTACAGAATTATGTTTATTTACACATGATTAATTGTAGGATTTCTTTCTAATTTATCATGATATTTGTTCTACGAATTTAGAATGTTATGAATTGGTGCAGCACGTTTTACATCAAATATATATTCACAATCAAAATAGTGATAATCATAATGTAAATTATATTCATAACGTGTGCAAAAATAGGTTAGATACCCATTTCAATTAAAATTCAGAATAACTTCTAGCACAACCAACAAATTTGTCCTCTGAAAAACTTCAATTGTAAGGCTGAATGTTACATTTTATCATTTCAAATTAAAAGCATTCAATTATACATTTGAATAAACTGTTCCAGTACAAAAGGTAAAAAAAGTGTTTTTTTTGGGTTTTTTTTCATTTTTTCACAGGATTTTCCCATCCAGCAAATAAAAATGAATATAAAGCAAAAAACATATTTATTTATTGTTTTGGCTAGAGCATGGCATGGTTTTAAAACCATTGAGGCATTTTTTTCCCTGCCATTGCCATTGGGGAGAACTCTCACACTTCCTGTCCTGAATACACTCTTTGACAGTTGTTTCCAGAACATTTGTTCCCAGTTAAAGATTTTCCTTATCTCCTCTTTTAGTGACAACTACATTTTTGAATTTCCCATCCCTTTCTGTCCCAGTGACAATGGTTATCATGACAACCTGGGAGTGTGACTCTCACAGATGAGAAACAGACAGCAATAAAAACCTGACACCAATGAACAAAAGAAACAAAAAAAAAAGCTGCGCAAATAGTGAATAAATGAAAAAAGTTTGATAGCAAGACAATCAGGTCCATTGTATACAAATATAAATAAATTGCCGTGTTCAAATGTCACAACTAAGGCAACCATATAAGTGACAATATAAATAAGTCCAAGTGTGAAAATAGTCCCAGTGTATTGAACCATGCAGTAGATCAACACGTGTCTTCAATATGATTAGTGCTCCAGCACCAGAAAATGGTAGGACTCTTACCAGAACATGAATATGGACCCTTATACAAGAGTCACAAATGCATGAGAATATATCCACTGAATCCCTCAGAATTGGAGGAAGTTAGATCAAAGTGGTCATGGTACTGGTAGGAAATAGCAAACGTAATAGCATATAAAAACCTGCTAGTTGGTCTAACCCCTGTTTAGTTTGTCCAAAACTAAAAAAAGTGCCTTTTAAAACACTAATGTAAGGATTTTGTTATTTTACATGGTGCAGGTTAGATTTAAAAGTGTTTTGTACAGTGCATTGATTGCCAGTCATGGAAGACATGCAATCCTTATATCAGGGTTATATCAGGGTACCTGTGAACTAAAGTCCACTAAAGGTGTTAATAGGATGTTTCTTTTTCAAACACCACATCTGTAGATTTTTACAGGCCTAGATGTAGACAATGCAGGAGGACACTATCATCCATTGCAGTAAGTGAGCACCTATGGAGGAAAAGGTGAGGATGTTGAGTGTTTAGCTAATGTTTTTCAGTTAGTATGTTGAATTTGGCCTCAACTGTTTCTATTAAGATGACAATATTGATCCCTGTGCCAAGATGGGCAAATGCTAAGCCCTCAGAGCAAGACATAGTTACATATAGTTACATAGTTGTTCTGGCTGAAAAAAGACAAAAGTCCATCCAGTTCAACCATAAAAAAAAGTTTTTATAATCCTACACCACAGTTAATCCAGAGGAAGGCAAAAAACTCAGCAAAGCATGAACCAGTTTGCTCCAGCAGGGGAAAAAATTCCTTCCTGATCTCCCGTAGAGGCAATCGGATATTCCCTGGATCAACTTTACCTATAAATGTTAGTATCCAGTTATATTCTGTGTATCAAGAAAGAACCCAGGACTTTTTTAAAGCAATCCACTTAGCTGGCCAGAAACCAATTCTTGAGGGAGTCTATTCCACTGTCTCACAGCTCTTACTGTTATGAAACCTTTCTGTATTTGGAGCTTAAATCTCTTTTCCTCCAGCCGTAAATAGTGCCCCTTGTCCTCTGTGATGACCTCATGGTGAATAGCTCTACACCTAGTTCACTATTGAACCACTGATGTATTTATACATGTTGATCAAATCCCCCCTTAATCTCCTCTTCTCAAGAGAGAATAAATTTCAGTTCCTCTAATCTTTCCTCA